TCTGATTCTAAGAGAAAAACAACCTCCCTCTAAATCTAGTCTTGATTGCTCTGCATCCCCAGCGCCACCTGCTGGTTTTTTGTTTTGTTTTGTTTTTTGTTTTTTGTTTTGTGTGGTTTTTTTTTGTTTTGTTTTGTTTTAGACTTGTTTTATTTGTCAGAAAAATAAACATGTCATTACACCGATAGGTGGTAAATTGTTTTATAGTATATAAATTACAGTAGACTGAAGTCTTTTTTTCTGTCTTTTTTTTCAAAGTTTTATTGATAAACAGATAGCAATGAGACAGTTTCAAATCAAATCGGAAGTACAGTTTCAACAAATAATACACTGCATATATTCTTCTTAGTGGTTAATTGCTGTACAAGAAGTGGACTTGTGATCCTATTTACAAACACCATTAGAACAAATCATTCTATTCATTAAGAGAATGCAACTATATATCTATCCTAACCACTTTGAATACACAGATACAAAATAGACATTCATCGGTATACCCCATTTTTTCTAAGTTCCGTTATTGAATATTATAGGTGTGTAAACTCAGCAAAATATTCTAAAAGAGTCCAGGAGCCCATAATAGCATTGGGTCTTCTGTTTAACTGGCAATGTCAGAAAGTATTGACCTGCTGGTTTTGAACTGCTGTGCAGGGAGGTTTATGTCTGTGCTCACAGTGAAATCTCTTCACTGTGTTTTACACCATAATTCACAGCCGTGTCCTCAGTTTTCAGAGAGGTCATTTGCAGATAGAGTGTGTTCTTGGCGTTGTCCCTAGAGATGGTAAATGGCCCATCACAGAGTCCGCGTAGTATATGCGACCACCTCTTTCGTTAATTTCCCCGATTAAATCCAATCCTTTTCCTGGAATCTGTTGGAACCAGCTCATCCAGAGCTACTGAAGGTGAAGCCAGAGGCCAAACAGGAGAGTTTCAGGGACTCCCTGGGCTGCACCAGGCCTCCGCCAGACGCTACTAGCCTCACCTCAGCCTGGACATCTGAAAACACAGAGACATCGTGCTCAAGGCACGGTCACACAGGTCCGGTGTTTCTCCCACTCATGTCCACCCACACACTCATCATCACCTGTTTACCATAATTCACCTTTAAAGATGGCAACAATAAAAACCTAGCACAGCCAAAGCTCCATGGTGAGTGTATTGCACTCAACTTTGATTACAAGTGGGAACCTGGGCTGCAGGGTCAGGGTTGGGCTGGTTTTCATCGGCAGAGCGAGGCCCTATTTGCATTATCTCAGCTATATAGCCAGCTATGTTGTGGAAGACTCATAGAGATGGGTTAGCAACATAGGAGGGTTTTTGGGAGAACTTTTGTAATATTCCTTATGAAGCATATAGAATTACTTATTATCTGCATGAGTTGTAATGAATACTGAAATTCATTAATTTTCTTAGAATTAAGTATGTATGTAATTAATGAGTTTCTTAATTTCCTACATTTTTAATGTGTTTGGTATAGAGTCTTCTCATGCAGCTCAGACTCATAGTGATCCTTCTGCTTTCAGCCTCCCAGATCTGATATTCCATGTTTGCACCACCACGCTGGGTCTCAGTGGATGGCTCAGCTCACCAGGGGATGGAGGCAGAGCAACATGTGGAATCAGAGATCGAGTCCTGGTCCCTGTGCTTGCATAAGCAGATGCTTAGTCCACTGAGCCATCTTTCCGGCCCTATTTCCTACAGTTTTCTGATGCTCACATAGATAAAGCAGCAAAATCGAGCTGAGATATGGACCCAGATGTGCTAAAAGTATCTCATGTATTTGGGCCTGTGATCCTCTCACAGCGCTTACCTTCTCCATGAGCAGTTCCAATACAGAGCAGTATTATGCATCAGGTTTTCTGATCACTTTCTCTAGTGAAAGAACGTGATATTTTTCAGCCTTTAATTATTCCCTAAATAGACACCCAGCATGCTTCTAGCCTGTGATTGATTCTGACCTGTTTTATTAACTACATCTGATTAATATTTCTAATCTAAATTATCCGCTTGATGTGTAATAACTTTAATGATGGTCAAATGGTATACATTTCGACATAAATATAGTTTTTTAAGTACTGACATAAAATTTACCATGGTCCTGTAAGGCAACGTAAATGTACCCATGAATTCCTAGAGTTTCTCTAAATTCTGCTTTGTGCATCTTCTCTTATTCTATCTTCTCCTTAAATTAAACATTTACTCCTGTATTGGACAACTCACACTCATTGTGAAAAATATTGCCAATTATTTCTTTTTAATTTCGTACAGGGCCTACAGAATCTCACTACATAGTGAGTTCATAGTGATCCACCTGTGTTCAGCCTCCCAAGAGCTGAGACTGACTGGTGAGATGGTTCAGTGCAATAAGTATTTGCCTGGCAAGCACAAGGTCCTCAGTTCAATCCCTGTTGCCCAACCCGAAAAAAACCAAAAACAAAGAGCTGGGACTATAGGCATTCACCAAAATGCTCAGTCTCAATAGCCCTCTCAGAGTGCCCTGTGGGCAGAGCTGGTGCTACATGCCAGCGATCAAACCCTGGCCATTGTGTCTGCCTAAGCAGGTGCTTTAATCCATCCAATTAATTTTTGATTATGGGGATAATCACAATAATCATATTCCAAAACTTATGGATTAAAAAATCAGTTTGTTTTCTAGTACATACAAGTGGGATAATCCTTACACTGACATCAATATAAAGAAGGCAAAAGAACCTCAAAAAAAGATCAACCATAACACTCACAATCTTTGGAGCTTAACTTCTTTCAAGCTATTTGCAATAGATGTATTCAAAGGCCTCCTCAGTATTTACAATGCTGAGAGAGAGAAGAAAGTCTTGAGAATGATAGGGAGAGCAACATTTCCGTGATTCCTACTCTGTACATACTCCTGGGCCCCGTGCTAGCTTCCTGAGGCTTCTCAGTGCCCCATTTGCTGGTTCAGAGCTTTCCCTACCGGTCTGATACATCACCCTTGTTGTCCTGAACAACCACTAGTACTCCTGAACACCCCATCTGGTCCTGAGCACCCCAGAAAAGAGTGTTTGGGCTGACATGATGTCTCCTCAAGATATCTCAAGATATCAGAGATGTCTCCTCAAGATATCTCTGATAATGACACACAGCTGTTTCCTCTATGGTTTATGAGCCCAGCTGCAGAGAAACTTAGTTTGGTTACATCTCAGGACATGCTGATTTGACTATAAACATGAATTGTTCCTTGTGCCTCCAATATAAATATCCTGTAGCAATCATTTGATCCCCTTCCCTCGGAGCTGTTGGATTCAGATTGCAGAATAATGACTATTGATGAAGGAGCCAGAAAGTGCAGATCTGCTGACAGGCCAGTTTCCATCCCTTGTATTTGCACCTAGGAAAGCACAGTGCAGTAAAGATCTCAGAAAGTTTTGAGATCAGGTGCAGTATCTACACATCTTTTTCTCTGAGCCCAGGGGAACTGAAGTCTGGAAGCTGTCACTGGAAAGAGGATGAGCCACCACTGTAGTGTTACCTCTCAGATTAGCTTTACAAATCCCAAAAGTACTTGAACGTGTGAGGAACAAGGTGAATTCAATTACATGTGTGATGTGATTCAGTGTGAGACCTGAATGCCCTGTGAATAATTTGCTTCAGGATGTTCTCCTGTATATAATGTTGTGAGGGAGAGAGAGAAGGTCTCTGTGTGGGGGCTGCCCTTTGGGGGAGGATTGTGACTAAACCCAAAGAGGGCCAAGTGGTCTCTCTGGGCTCCACCACACTGGGTTACTGATGAAAAACACACCCACAGATTACAAGACCTTAATGTTAAATGAAAGAAAGACAGGTGCAGAAGACACCTACTGTACTTCTGTGTGGATAAAATCATAGCCAATCACATAGAGAAAGAGAGAAAAACTGGTTGACGTAGGCAAGGAGTTAGGGACAGCGGAGAAGTTAGTGTTGGTCATAGGAAGAGAAGAACAGGTGGCACAGGATGCTTGTTCCTGTCGTTCTTTCACACAGAAATGTGGTGAGAGGTTACCCTATTGTGTGACATAATCCCAAGTAGAGGATAGAAAGAGATGGTGGTGTTCTTACTACACACATGACTATTTCCTCAAAGTAGGGATAAATTAAGTGCCCTGAGTTCATCAATACAGAAAGCCCAAATGTACTGCAATATCACAGAGAATCTCATGAATGTGCACCATGCGTTTGTATTATTTATCAGTGAGAGTTACAGGATTGATGGTCTTGATCAGCGGTAGATCCCTCTTTTATGTCCTCTTTCATGTTCTTACACAAGCAAGACTATGAAATCTGTGCACGTGTGGGTCTGACTTATTTCACTCATGATTAAGGTCTTTAGTTGCCTCCATTTAGCCATAAAAACCTTGTGGTGGCCTTTAAGGAAATGTGTGTGACATCAGGGTCATAGTTTCTCTTTCCAAGCACCATGATTCTGGAATTCTGATGACTTCCTTCTTATGTTATCTACATTATCTTTCAGGAGAACAGATTCCATTAAAAAATCTGAGGCTAATGTGTATACTTTAACAGACTCTTCATTATGGTAAGAAAACATCTTATTGTTTCCTAAATCAAGTTATTGATATGCATTTGTTTTTTTTAGAAGAAATGTGTTTCATCTTTTATTTCCAAGAAAAGTGTGTATTACAAAAAAAAAAAAAAAAAAAAAAAAAAAAAAAAAAAAAAACATTTGTTATACCATTGAGTACAGAGCTCATATCACAAACATTTTACTGTTTGCAACACACATCTGATGGTCTAAAATCAAAATCACCTTTACAGGCTTTAGTTTTCCACTGTTTCATAAAAATCACATTATAGTGTTATCACAGTATAATGACACACTATTATTTTAAAGGCTCAAGTAAAATTGAGACCCGATAATTTTAAAGCAAATTTTTGTATCTTACTGTTTTATAGAATAAAAAAAACATACTAAGATAGCACTTATACATGCAACATATTTCAATTGCTTGAATATTCTAGAAATAAGACATTCAGAATGCTTTAATACTTCCAGTTAACATCATTTGTATCAGTAACTGCAACATTGAACATTTGAGCATTAGCCAAAAAAGATATTTTTTAAAGGATGATAGGAGATACAAGAATGTCAGTCTTCACATTTCTGTATAAAATTTAAAAATCAAAACTGTCTTCTCAGCATCAAAACTGTACCACAGACTTGAACCACATCTTTTTTAGCTCTAATCCCATGACTCTTCATCAACTGGATTGGGGGCTGGTGAAGAAAACCCTGCTGTATTCAGAGTGCTCTTGCTCGGGTAATTCTTTCTAGTATCAACTGATGCAAACACATTTCCTTTTGTACTACCACTGAAGCCAGGAACATATGTACTAAAGGCAATTTCTTCCAACCATGCAGGAACATCCTGTTGAGCATCTGACAGTACTTTCACAAGAGGCTGTGCTAAATGATTGTCTGATTCAGGATCAAAAAAAGAAATAGCTCTTCCAGTATTCCCACAACGTCCAGTACGCCCAATTCGATGAACATATTCATCAATGGTGGAAGGAAGATCAAAATTAATAACATGTTGGACATTTTCAATATCCAGCCCTCTGGCAGCTACAGAAGTAGCAACAAGAACAGGGCACTTTCCACAGCGAAAATCTCCAAGGGCTTGCTCTCTCTCTCTCTGTTCCCGATCACCATGAATACTTGTAGTTGATACTTTTTCTTGACAGAGAAAGGTTGCAATAAAATCTGCTTTTTTCTTAGTTTCAACAAAGACCATAGTTCTTTCATCACCTGTATTTTGCAGGATTTCGACCAGCTTTTCCCTCTTTGAGTATTGGCCAACTTGGAGAACAGTCTGCTGAACATCTCTACATGCTCCACCCACTTGTCCAACAGCAACAAACAAATAATCTGACTTTAAAAACTCCCCAGCCAACCTTTGAATTTCTTCTGGAAAAGTTGCACTGAATAAAAGTGTCTGACGTTGTTCTTTTGTTGGCATTCCTGGGCAAGAAATTAACTTCTTCATTTCTGGCCCAAAACCCATATCCAACATCTGATCTGCTTCATCCAAAACTAAATATTTGACTTGCTTGAGACCAATCTTTTCTTTACCTATGATATCCATCAGTCTTCCAGGAGTAGCACATAATACATTACAGCCTTGTACTATCTGTCGGATTGAATGTCCCAGCTGTGTTCCTCCATATATGACAACAGCTCTTACACAAGTCCCATAAGAAAACTTTCTGGCTTCCAAATAAATCTGGTTGATCAATTCTCGAGTTGGGGCTACAATAATACACTCTGGTTCCTGTAGTTCTTTAAAGCGACTGGCAGTTATTCCATCACGCATCATGTAGGCCAAAATTGGCAAGAGAAAAGCCACAGTCTTTCCAGATCCTGTTGGAGCACAAGCCATCATATCTCGTCCTGCTAGTATAATAGGAATACTGTATTTCTGCACAGGAGTAAGTTTAGTGTAGCCAGCTTTAGCAATATTATTATTAAGTGTCTGACAGAGATTAGCTTCCTCAAAAGTAAGAATTGCTGGTGGCAAATCATGTCCAGATATTTCTACAAGAATAGTGTCATATTCGTCAAAGTTTATGCCTGTCTGATAATGTGCAAATATGGAGTCCTCATCCTCTGGTGGAGGTGGAGGTATGTAGGTCACTTTTGGCCCTTGAATATCACCAGCTTCTCCTTCAGCTTCTGACTTCCAAGAATCTGTACCACTCACTGCTGTTCTTTTAGAACTAAAAAGGCCACCAACACGCTGCACCCCATCATCATGGTCACATTCATTACTTGCTCTTCCTGCACCAAATCCTCCACGGCAACCTCGGAAACCACCTCGTCCACCTCTTCTGGATGGCCCTGAAGCTTCTGCATCATTTCCATCTTGGTAGCTGCCTCTCCTGGAAAACCCTCTGTTCTGTGTTTGATTATCTTCACAGTCATTATTAGATCCTTTCAAGAACCCAGAGGTATCATCTTCTTCAAACTTATTTGAAAAACCTCTATTTCCCAAACTCCTCCCAGAGGCAAAGTGACTTCTCCTGAAATGATCTGGTTGAGCACGCCCATCATCCAATTCTTGATACATACCTGATGAAGCTGAAGTTCTGTTAATGGTGTCTCCATTTGCCCCAGAAGAAAATTTATCCTTCTCAAATACAGGAACGTAGGAAGACACATGAGGTTTGACGATTTCTGCTTCCCAATCTTCATCTCCCATGGTGGCTTCAGGCTCTCCACTCCCCATTGATATGTATTTGATTAGGGTGATTTTATTTTTATTTTTTTATTTTTTGGGTGGAACCAGGGATTGAACTCAGGCCCTTGCGCTTGCAAGGCAAATGCTTATTCTACTGAGCCATCTCCCCAGGCCCAGTGATTTTACATTTACAAAAATTTTCTGGTCTTTATTGCTTTTTATCATTATTTTTATTTTTAGATAGTACAAATTAGAGCCAAAACATAAAAAAATTAAAAGTGAGGCAGAATTTCACTTAACAAAGTATTATGAATGTCATAGTATTTGTTGTAACACATAGTGTTATCTTTCAACCAGTTATTCATATTACCAGATATATGCCTGTAAAATTGAAGAAGAAAGAAAAAAAGAATGAAATGTTTAAAAATTAAGAAGACAAAATGGTAAAACGATTGAAGAAAGGAGACAAAACAAATTAAAGCATTAACTGCTTATATCCTTATACCAGCAGAAATACAGAGTACAGTTGTCCAAACAAGGCTGCCTACGAACACAGATTCAACTCTTTCCCTCACTCCATCTCCTGCCCTTCTCCTCAACTATGTAACTCTTTCCTTGTGAATGAGTTCATCCACTTTTCCCAGAATTGTTGTACCCTTCAGATTCCATTTTTTCTCTTTCAGTTTCACACACTAAGCAGACAACATGATGTTTGCACATACTGGTTTGATACTCTTAAATGAAATAAATCTGACCCAATGCAGTCTGTATTTCTGTAATTCAAGATGGGTTTTAAGTTCTCATGGTCCATAGGAAACAGCATCTGAGTAAAAATATATGGAGAGGAAAGGATATGTTGGTTCAGAGTGTCTGATGTTCATTGCATGTGCAGCTGTCTCCACAGCTATGGTCCTGTGGTGAGGCAGAACAGGTGGAAGTGGGATCATGGGGCAAAGCACAGCTACAGGTGAGAAAAAGAGGAGGATGAGGAGAGGGTGGAGGAGGAAGAGAAGTGGAAGCAGAGGAGGATGAGAGAGAAGCTGGGGATAAGATGTAATCCACAAACCACATCCTCATGACCTACGCTCCTAAAAGAGGCCTTGAGTATTAATATCCCATTCAACTGAGACTACATCCATGGTTGAGCTCAATGAAGACTTTTCTGGTCACATGTTATAATCACCACTTTAGGGCCCATGTGTGAATATTGCGGCACTGGGGTCAAGGTTTCTATACATGAGCATTAGGAGACATTTAAGGTCTAAAATATAGCAACCTGATTTTTAAAATCTGTACTTGCCCAGTCTCATGCTCTACATTCCAATGTTTATTGTACTGTGTCTTGATGACTTTCACTCTGCTTCCAGGTGACATATGGACACAGGTTCTGTCCTACTGGTAACCCATGATGGCCCAGGTAGCAGCCAACTGGATGCCTTTATAAATAGAAAATAGAATCTCTTTTGCATGACCAGCTAAGAAAGTCAAGATACATGAAGCGTGAAATGTAATAGGAAAACTGGGCCTCGTACTCTGGGGAGGAGAAGATCCCTAGAGGCTTACAAGGATGGCACACATTCCTTTATTCCTGATCTGCAGATGTGGAAATAACTTAGCTGAAATGCAACCTGAGAGCTTGTACAGGGGGATTCTGAGGCTGAGTGTCTTGTGTTACTCTTGTGCAATAATATGTGGCTGTGTCTGCTGGGTCCACACTGGTCATCGTGAGGAGCACCTTGTTGCTGGAGGAGTCCTTGGAGATGGACAGCCTGATCTTCAGCACTGGGCTATAGTACTTAGCATTATTCCAATAAATGCGTGCCAGCCACTGCAGGCCATTCTCTGTAGGCTGATGGATCTAATCTATACGTAAACCACTTGTGCTCAGTGAGAAGCCAGAGAAGGAGCACGTCAGCCTGAGAGTCTGGGTAGGTGTCACGACTCCAGGGCCAGACTTCTTCAGGGATATCTAGGCTAGGATCCCTGTAAGAAATAGAAGAAACTGAAAGTGGTTCAGGTGAGGACAGGAGCCTTTGGATCCCTGCACCCCTGGCCCAGTCACTCATGGGCAGGAATGGTCAGCAGCAGAAGAAGGGAGCACAGCCTGTTCATGGAGATTCAGGAGTCCTGATGTAGGTCCTACAGGGCTTTTCAACCCAAGAGGAGAGGAACAGCATGAGATTTGCCTTCCCTCTCCAGGTTCTGACCCTGATGGGAGGACTCAGGATTCAGAACACAGAAGGAGCCAGGCTGTGATAGGCAGCACCTGGGCCTCAGTTGTGACTTCTACATCCACTCATATGGAGGATTCTGGCCACTGATGGCCAGGCTGTCAGACACAAGGCATCAAGTGATGCCTGTGTTTGAAGGACATCAAGGCCCAGAGGCCCCCAGCATTATAGACAGGGTCTTCCCTATGCTTCCTGTCCTGTGGGTGGGAGCAGACCAAGGCATATGGTGGCCATTTTGCCACGTCACTGTATACCTTCAGTATCATGAGGATATTCTTGCATGTTAGATCCTGTGCTCTCTATGACAGATAGAGGATGAAGCAGATTAGCATAAGAGAGGGACAATAGACTACTCATTTTTACTCCTGCTTGTACAAGTGTCTACACCTCATTATCTCCACGTGTGTCCTGCAACTAGTATAGTACACAGATAACCCGCCTTGTCCTCAAGCTCGATCGGTCCTGAAGGAACAGGGGGCTCCACATCTGATCTCCCTGTCTTCCTCCCAGGACGAATTTGGGATTGTATTACCTAGGTGGACTCCGATACCCAGCTAGTTTACAGCAATCTCCCCCACAGCTTTACTGTTCTCCTGCACTGCTCTAGGTCCCAAGATGCAGCTTTTGGTGACTTCCTCCAGCAAAGCAGTCCTCATCACCACAGAAAATGGTGTACAGAGTGGACACCTCTGAGACATCACAGGAGTAAGGAGCACTCAAATCCTTCTATCCCCTGCCCCGTGATTATATGTAAGACATTTACTTCTTCCTGATTTTCTAAGTTATGCTAATTTTGTAGTTTGTGGTGTTGTTGTGCAGCTGTGTTTTTGCTATTGAGGTTTTCTATATGCTGTTTTTATTTTGTGGAACCAGGGATTGAACTCAGGCCCTTGTGCTTGCCAGGGATGCTCTTATTCTACTTATTCATCTCACTGGCCCCTACAGCTCTTTGATGTGATGCTTTCACTTGTCCAAGCCCAAACCATAAATAAGAACAGTGGTATCAGATGATAGTGATGCTCAGTTGTCTCATATTTGGAAAGGTTCAGGTAAGAAGCTGAGGTAGGGAAGATCCCGCAACAGAAGTTGCAGCCGCACGGCAATGCTGGGAGCCTTCATCACTGAATTGCTCAGGTGTGATAGCAGCTGCTTGTTTTTGGAGGTATTTGTATTTGAGTGCCTCAGAAGGCGTGACTGTGGACTGAAATTGACCCACATATGAGTTGAATCTATTGCACAAATAAAATAATTGTGTTGAACATAAAGAGGAATTTTATGCTGGGGAGACAGCTTGGTGGTATAAGTGTCTGCCTGACAAGCCCAAGGACTCAGGTTTGATCCTCTGTACCACATGCCATGCTCTCTGCCTACAGGAGGACCACTACGATTCTGAGTTGTGTAGTGAGACCCTGTATGAAAGAAAGAAAGAAAGAAAGAAAGAAAGAAAGAAAGAAGAAAGAAAGAAAGAAAGAAAGAAAGAAAGAAAGAAAGAAAGAAAGAAGAAAACAAAACATAAAGAGGAATCTTATTTCTAAAAACCTATTTCATTTTAACAAGTTACACTAAATTAATTGCATGTAATTTCAGTGTACTAGTATAGTTTAAAAAAATTGTTCATCACTAAATGACAGTTGGTGGATTTCCACAGCTTTTCCATGAGTCTTGTGTCTTACACAAGTCAGGATGTGGAAGGGAAATGTCATCCCTCTAATCCTGATTGGCAGACAAGGTCTCTTATGAATCTCAGTCATTTTCCATGCAGTTGGACAAAGTGGCAGCTGTATGTCATCCTTGAAATCTGGGAGTTTGATAAACAAATTCCCACCCAGCAGCAAGTGTAGCCTCACATTTAAAGGAGGAGGGTGGTGAATAACAGGTCAGGTGTTGCCCCTGGCTCCTGTCTTCAGTATTCAAAAACAGAAATTGTCCTTGTGTCTTACGTGGCAATTCACTCAGTCCAGTGAAATTGAGTTTTAATTTTGTCTGCTTCAAACTAAACCAGCATAGTTGTGTGATATTTCAACCCTAATTTTATAAGATATGAAAAGGAGGTGTAGGGAACTATTCCAATTCAATTATCTATACACGATTCCTGCTCTATCCAAGACCTGAGTATGTAGGTAGAGCTGTGAATTTCCTTAAGTTACATTCTCTGTGGCTTGATGTCGACATGTTTGACAGGAAATTTTGGAGATCTATTTATATTCACTTTTTTATATTGATGCACATTGAAATTACTGCAAATGAGAAAGATAAGAAAGTTAGAAAATTATTGGGGATTGTTGGATAATGAATTCTTCTCAAGAATAACAAAGTCCAATGAGTTGTGCATTATGCTTCTATAAATTGAAGATTCTATACGTAATTGTCTTGGATTCTTAGCTGATGATACCTCCACAAATGAGTCTACCTGCATCTTGTTTTGCTTTCCTGGGTGACCACAAATAAATGAAAATTCATGCATCTTTTGCGTCCAATAAAAGCTTATGATTCTATATTTTAGAGCATTTTGTAGTATCAGAAGCATCACCAATGCCTTTTGTTTCAGATTCTGTTGAATTTGCAGCAGGAACAGGTAACTTCAGAAAGCAACTTAACTTGTTAATAGTCAAGGATCTCATTCAATCAAGTTGAAAATGCACCTTGGTAGCCAACTTTGAACCAGAAAAGACAAAGAAAAGGAAAAGAACAGGATGCATATAAGACATTAGGAGGATTTCAAGGATCTGTCAGGAATCAGGAAATCAGAAGGGCAACACTGAGGAACTGGCTACATCCCTGGTGTCTGAGTTGGTCACATGGTACC